CACTAAAGCCTCGGGTAGGCCCCCTACAGCAGCCCCTACAATTGCGCCAACAACAGCCCCAACCAAGGCACCTTCCAAGTCACCAACGAAGGCTCCTTCGAAGGCTCCATCACAACTACCCACAGACACGCCCACAAAGGCTCCCACGACAATGCCAACACCTGCCCCCTCCACTGCTCCAACTCCTGGTAAGCCGTCAGATTGAGACATTGTTAATTCTTTTCTGGTGTTTCAGCTCACTGCTTTTTTTAACTGACTGCAACACAGTCTTTGGTGACAAAGATGCTTTGATTGCAGCCCTGGAACAGGGTGACTACTCTGCCTCAGGTCCTTATGGTAAACAAAAATTGGCCCCACTGTGTCCAACTGCAGTAGCATGTCTAATATTGTTTTGTTTCTGCTACTGAACTCTAGGCTCCATTCAATCATGGAGTGTACAGGCAGTTCATAACTTTGGTAGGTGAACCACAAAAGTTGCTTTGAGTGCTATATTGGTTGTATTTGATGTTGCCTGTGAACTCAAGAATTGAGAACCATTGTTGTCTTTCCTGCAGACTCTTTGATTAGTAATCTCACAAATGTGGCTGCCTTCAATGGGGACGTGAGCAATTGGGATGTCAGTGGAGTAACTTCCATGAACTCCGTCTTTTTAAGTAAGTACAAACAGTATGTTGACCCTTTTTATGCAATATGTGCGTGTTTCTTGAATGGGAAGCTAAGACAAATTCTTTTCATGTACAACAGATGCAGCTGCATTCAATGTTCCGCTGAACAACTGGGTTGTATCGAGCGTGACTGATATGACAAGTATGTTTTACAAATCAGCTTTCAACTCCGATGTTTCAAGTTGGTAAGCTCTTATTTCTGCAACAGGATAACTTGTATTGTTCTTTTTGCCTAAAAATTGGAACTTGCTGAACTAAAACAACTCAGGGATGTCAGCAGCGTCACAAGCTTCGACAGTCTTTTCAGGGGGTCTTCCTTCAATGCTCCACTGAACAACTGGGTTGTCTCCAGTGTCACTGATATGACAAAGACATTTTGGAATTCAGCTTTCAACTCGGATGTTTCACGTTGGTAAGCTTTGATTACTGAAAAATGATAACTTTGATTGTTTTCTTGACTAAAAAAGTGGCACTTGCTAAACTACAACAACTCAGGGATGTCAGCAGTGTCACAAGCTTCTATGGTATTTTCAGAGGGACTCCCTTTAATGGTGATCTCAGTTCGTGGGGTAAGTTGATTCTCATTGATGCTTGCAGAACAATCAGAACTTGAACGCTCAAATTAACATCAAATCACTGCTGTCCCAAGATACAAGTAGTGGTCAAGAATTCCGGTCTGCATTCAGTGCTGCTACATCCTTCAATGGTGACATCAGCACGTGGGGTAAGTCAAATCTTGTGTCTGTCTCCGAAGCACCCATGGCAATGTTCGTGTCAGCCTCAACATTTTGTGTTTGAATGATAGATATGAGTAGCGCAACATCCATTAAGGCTATGCTCTATGTGGCCTCTGCCTTCAATGGCGACCTAAGTGCATGGGGTATGTATACAAGTCATGGTTGTTGCTTGCTTCACAGAGTATCCAACCTGATATTTCCTACTTTGGTTCCCTCTCAATTATAGATACCAGTCGTGTTACAACCCTGCAAAATGTCTTCTATGGAGCAAGTTCCTTCAATGGAGACTTAAGTTCATGGGGTATGCAAACAGGTTTTGATTCAGGTGTTGATTCGTGGCACACAAGAGTATTTATTTCACCTTATGTTTGCTCACCTACTGATTGCTTCCGCTTTTAGATATCAGTAGTGTGGAAAACTTGCAAGGGGCCTTCTATGAAGCAACCTCCTTCAATTGTAATCTGAACTCATGGGGTGAGTGAATCAATGGGACGACACTCCTTTCATTTTTCATGAAGATTACTCACAACAGCTGTAGACGTTAGTAGGGTCACTACAATGTATCAGACCTTCATGGGTGCTTCTATTTTTGACCAGGATTTGTGTGCTTGGGGCCCCAAAATATCTGGCACCTTTACTGTCACTAACTGTTTTGATGGTACTTCTTGTCCCATGACTGCTGTCCCTGATCTGTCAGCGTCACCCAAGGGCCCCTTCTGCCATGTTTGCCAGAGTCCCACAAATGCGCCCACCAAGATGCCAACAAATACTCCATCCAAAGCACCCACCAAGATGCCAACAAATACTCCATCCAAAGACCCTACCACTGCACCTACCAAGGCTCCCACGACAATGCCAACACCTGTCCCCTCCTCTGCTCCAACTCCTGGTAAGCCATCAGATTGAGACATTGTTTGTTCATTTCTGGTGTTTACGCTAACTGCTTTTTTTAACTGACTGCAACACAGTCTTTGGTGACAAAGATGCTTTGATTGCAGCCCTGGAACAGGGTGACTACTCTTCCTCAGGTCCTTATGGTAAACAACAATTGGCCCCACTGTGTTCAACTGAAGCAAGTAGCATGTCTCAGGTTGTTCCTTTGTTGTCCTGCATTCTAGGCTCCATTCAATTGTGGAATGTGCAAGCAGTGGATAACAACAAAATCTTTATAACGGATATGGCCCCAATGGACGGATCATCACTGTGCTGCAGCCGAAGCTTTGGGTAACCGCTCCCGGCCGAAGCGGGGATTGGTTTCACAGGAGACCACCACTGGT